TTATATATATAATATATAATAGAGTACAACATAAAAGTTATTGACTAAGCTGTGGGCTAGTAGTCGTATGACTAAGTATTGATCTCACGGTGTGGCTGGAGTATCTAGTCAACATATGTGATGTGCGATAGAACTTTTGAACTGTTAGACTGCGTATGATGTGAAATGTGTGAGGTGTCCTTGGAGTTGAATAGTGTCGTTTGATTCTTGAGAGGTGCGTCGTGGCATGCATCAGCGATATGTATCATTAAACTGACGATGGTGTAGTGCAGACTGCTCGCCAACCATTCACTCGATCCTAATAGTCAGATATCCCCACTCGCAGACTCCACCCGAGCTAACTACAGCCTGAAATAAAATACACCTATTACAAGAGAAATGGGGAATAAAGACAAATCCGACCACTGTAAGAAATAAAAAGAATCTTAACCCATCGCTATAAACTACGTGTATGCTATTCACTGTCTAACTGATGCACATCACACAAGGTGAACTCGGATCGATCGGGATCATCTTCACTGTTGTAAAATAGTTTGACTCCCTCCATAGTGACTGAGTAGATTTTTAGAATGACTGTATTACCCATATTATACCATCGAGTAATCGCGTCCAAAACGCTCTTCTATAATTATCTATCCTCTTCTCTCTCACACTCACACACACACTATCACACACATTCACACTATCACACTACACACAGATGATGGCGAGCACAACAATCCGACTTATTAATCACTATACTATACTTTTATCTAGACACGACACATCACCAACCACTAACACACAAGACAGGTTATATATCTAAATGATAACAACTATAAATTATTATAATAGTACTATTAATAAGAAAATATAAAGTAGCGTGACTGTAGTCAAGAAATGACTGAGTTGCTGATATTAGATATACTTATGATAGCTCGGACTGTACTAAGTGAGTACTTAGAATATTTGATTATAGTACTTTTATTATTGCCGCTGTATATGTTATTAGATATAGTTAAGAAGCATAGCTATCAGAATCTGAGGTAAATACGATCAATACGTAACTCAATCCTTATACATGACCGTTTAAGTGCTGCTGTATGTGATCGTAGACCTACACAGACTTGTATAGGAAGGTCTAGAGGCGTTTTTTGGCTTCGGTTGAAAGAGTACCCTATGACAAGATGAAAAGGAGTGCAATTGACTTATGCTGAGAGAGCGCAAAGTATATTTGGTCGATCGGGACGTTGTGATGTTTACACGACAAGTTTCGCACCCCGCTGTTGTTCTTTGGTCTTAGGAAAGCCGGCTCCCCCCTCCCTCCTCCCCGCTCCCAAGGGAGAGAAACGAGAGTGATTCTTGGATGAAATCGAGAGTACCATAAGAATACCGCGTTCGCTTGTCCTCTGCCGCGCTTCGGACATAGCTCACGATATCTCCCTATCTCGTTCTGTCATTGGAACAAATTTTTGATTTTTCAACAAGGGTGATTGCTTGCTACAATCATGTACTGACAAAAGGGTCCCTTTTGTGCTGCTCCGGAGATGTGTGTGGTTTAGGCCTGGTGACGAGTAGGGGGGATGGAGGTTGCGGGGGTACGGGAGGTGTTATCTCTTGTTGCTCGTCTCGCCGCGCGTGATTATGTATTTGTCACTATCTCTCTGACGCGTTCACTTCTTCCAAGGATTTCCGGTTTTGCTGTTGGTGCAGGTTTGCGTCATTCGCACGCTGTTTCCTCCTGACTCGATGCTCAATCATATAGGGAGCGAACAGAACTTGGCTTCGCCAACCCAAAAAAGCAAAGGACAACATTGCTGCTACACAGTCATCAGTGATATCGCAACAAGATCCTCTGACACGGAATGCATAGGAATGAATGTATAGGTTGTTACACAAATCTCATCTATCACTTCTCATCTCTCTATGCTCTCTCGCTCTCTGGTCTCTCGTCTCTCTCTTCTTTCTTCCTTCTCTCTTCTCTCTCGCATTTGTCGTGCGGGTGACATCATCTGCGCAAATCCTTTTCTTCTCTCTCTCATACACACACACACACACACACACAACGACACACACCACACACACACACGAGCACCACACACGAGCACACACTCTACACACACACAGCACCACACACACCACCAACACACAACACACGACAGGAAAAGGAAGGAAAAGCACACCAGTGTATCCCATAAAGAGGCCGCGTTAATCAACCAAATGTAGCTGTGAAAGATAACATAATTAATATAATTGTTATATATATAATATAATATTATACTATATAAAGAGATTATAGAGCATATAACATACTATTAAATATAAAATAAATATACCTGCCCAATATAAGTAGTGGCTACTGAATAATATGCAGAAATATATAATAAAAAAACAAATCATACGATAAGCATAAATATAAGGTGGACCTAATATTTTGAGCTATATGTAACATTCATATATATGATTACGCGAATACTCGTAAATAATAAAGGAGTCAACACTACGTACATATCACACAACACGATATGTGAATAGTCACTTGCAATTTATTATTCAGTATTAATTGGTATGTTACTTTCACCATATAATTCACCGCATAATACGTATGCACTCATAATTATTATTATATATTTTTATTATATATATAATAGTATATATTGTATAAATTCATATATATCGATATATATATTATAATAATATATAAATTATATAAAATCATATTGGCTATATATATATTATATAAAATTATATATAGAGAGTTCTATATATGTAGGTATCTCTCATATAAATATATAATTATTTATATTGTAGGTAGATATAGTGAAATGTATAAATCGAATATATAATATAAAGTAATAATAATATAATATTATATAAATCATATTGCATATATTATATATACCAATAGATTAGCGTATAATGTAATGAAAGAGAGAAGAGAAGAGAGAGAGAGTACGAGAGAATAGGACCGAGCACGAGAGAGAGAGGAGAGAGAGAGAGAGCGAATGAGAGAGAGAGAGTAGAGAGAGAGAGATGAGAGATGAGAGTAGAGAGGATGAGAGATGAGAGAGAGGAGTAGGAGACGAGCCAGAGAAGAAGAGAGAGAGAAGAGAGAAGAGAGAGAAGAGAAGAGACGCACGGACCAATAAGCAACGCCATACCCACGCACGCATCAATAGGCAGGCACGGCACGCACACACATAATGGAATAAATAAATATAATATGATAGACAGACAGACAGGCAGAAGATAGTTAATCATAGATATCAGCAACAGAGATATAGATAGCGTTTAAAGGTATTTACTTATATATAAATCTGTATATATATATATAAAAAAATATATATGTATTTATATGTTGATGTAGATATATGCATAGATATATAAATCCATGAATTTATATCTGTCATTTATATATGCTTAATATGCTCATGATAATGAAAATCAAAAAGTTTTTATATGATGCTTATATGCTCATATATGATTTGAAAATTTATATGATAATGCTTCATATATTATTATTTGTATTTAATTATTTGTATTGTATTTATTTATTTATTTATTGTATAAAACAAAAAAATTTATATGATGCTTATATGCTCATATAATGAAAATCAAAAAGTTTTATGCAAGTTGTATATCTTCTATTTGGAAGCAGTAGGAACTGATGTGCAAGAAATTCATTACACTGGTATAAGATATTTATTGATTTTGCTGATTTACTATTTTGAAGTAGTGAACAGAACTGCTGTTTGTGAAAAATGTCACAGTATTCTGTATCGGGGCATCAATTGACCTGACTTACTCGCCCCCCAGGACCAGATTACCACATTTTTTTTGCCTAAATTACACCTTTGTAGCTCTGGTTGTAGCTTAAAAATTCTTCCAGAATAGCTCATTTTTCAAACATTTTCTGGGGAGGGGGGAGTCACAATACCTCAGAAACTGATTGTGCTCACTTGCTTGTCACCTCAACCTCACCTAGAAAAAACAGAAATGATGCCCTTGTTCTGTATCATTTCAGTCGCCTTAAATCTTATTCTAAAATCAGTTTTTAATGAATGTTCATTGCTTATAAGTATATTATGGTAATCAAGAAGGAAATATATGATCTATGAGGCAAAAAGCATCAATACCTCTTCACACTCACTTCTTTATGTTTTGCATTTATGAAGTTTGATGTTGCATGTTACTAAATCAACCCTATGGTACAATAATATCTTCAAAGACAGAATTCTTTGGTTTCAATCATACTCAAAAGAAAAAGAGAAGGATACTGACTTTTATTTCCCTTTTTTTTTTTTTTGTAAAAATTTTATTTAAGGTAATTACATTTTGTACAAACATAAAAGTATAAATGAGTGGCAACACTGAGCATTTCCATATAACTTCATGGACTCTCTGCCATGAACTGCTCAGTCCACTAATAAATAGCCGCCAACTTAATCCAACTTTGTGACTAAAATTCATCCAGGATCTTAACACCCAAATCCATCCCAACCTTACCAAGCAGGTTTGGCCCTTGTGCACATGACCTTGTACAGAATTGAACTATCAAATGCATCCACGTCATCCATTCATCCGTTAGCAAACCTGCCAATGGCTTGTCATGAAAAAAGTAATAATGATGATAAAAATTGTCACACGAGGTTGTGGTGAAGATGGTGTTCTTATCTGAAGCACAAAACACGGACTTTACAGGTCTGCAAATTGTTACTGGATGTCAACTGTATATTATAATATAAGGATCATCTTCTCTGTAATGCCCGACTTCTAGTTCACAAACAGTGTGCGTATATGGGGGTGGGGGGCTGTAAAACTACTTGTCTGCTATGATAAAAATTTGTTTTCGAAGGACAAGGAGCACCAATATATCAATAGTTCATGACCAAACAGTGTGAACGTGCTTATGAACTAGAGAGTACAGGAACATTATGTAAGACGTACAAGAGAGCACAGGCCCAACACTGAGATCAATGTTACTTCTGTAAAAAGGCTTAGAATTTTTTTCTGTTCTTTTATTTTTTATATAATCATTAGTATTTTTATCTTTTTTTATAATCACACTACTGTTGACAGCAGTTTGGGTATTGAATATTGAAACTGGGAAATCCTGTAGGCCTATAATATCAAGCACACCATTGTGTTAAAGAAGAATCCACAACAGGGACAATCTTTGGTTACAGGCAAAGCAGGGACTATCTGTGGCAGGCTACATAGTACCATTGCAGTTACAATTAAGGTGTGTGAAAGGCTGGAACCTGATGCTCTTTCTGGGCTGCTTAAAGCACTGCTGAGTCCAGTGTCAGTGGCAGGGCCTATGACTAGCACTTACAAACAAACATACAGCACACGCATGCTGATAAACTCTCACACCACAGAAAATAAGGATTTGAGATTATGGTGCAAAGGATTCTATGATTAAATTACAAAGAAGACGAAGAAGAGGAAAAAAATGAAAGAAAGAGAAAAAAAAAATGAACACAAACTTCAAAAAAAGTGAAGCAAACAAAGGCAAAATGATCCCCTGGAGGGTTATTTGCAAATAAAACTGCAAAGGATACCAAGATACAATGTATAAAGGAGTAGAAAGATTTACACAAGTTTATGCTATATAAGTATGCCGAGTTCCAACATTTGGACCTTGGCAGACTCTTACACAAAATATTTTCATGCTGAAAAAAGTAATTTCCCGCAATTGTTTCACACACAAACATGACTGGTATCTCTTAACATCTATACCTAACTGTTAACTCAAGTATAAAAAGCTGCACAGATTGCCATTAATGTGCCATGTCTTTCAAGCTATACTGACTAGTGGGAATAAGAAGCTAGATTAATATTAAAAGCTAAATTGATAAAAAACTTGCCATGTACAAAAGTTTGAGAAGTAATTTTCTCATGAATATCAAATTGTTGCTCCCCAGGACTAGCCAAGAGAGTTGAAATGCACATGATCTGGTCTAAGACACGTTTCCTGCGGGTTCATCCTTAGCCAATAAGCAATATCACTGTGCTTTTGCTAATCTGACCCCTTGGTGTTTAACATTCCTCTTATGGTACCATGCATACATAGTACACATTCTTATAGTAATCACTGACATTATCTGAGTAAGAATGTCAAATAAATCAAACAAGGAAAGCTTCGACCAATTCCAAATGGAACTGATATGCACATACATTAGTACACACAAGCTTTATCATTTGCCCAGCCAAGAAGTTTGCAACCCAGGGCAGGAGCACCACCAGCAAGAGTGCTTTAGTCACTTAATACTGTACTGTAAAACTGCTGCAACTATTCTCTGAAACTAATTAAGTATTTGCAGGATACATCTGTGACATGATGCTGGTTCCATCCTTTATGCACTCACTGTGGATACTTCAGTGACAGAAAACCCCTGCCTTATATAACAAGAGGCTGCAATTTCTACATTCTGTAATTCATAGACTACAACTAACATATTTGTTGAATGAATACATGGACTCCAGTATAGTAGTAGGAATGGCCACCACTGGAGGCGGCCACATCTCTTCACTTCTGCAGAATATGCCTGCAGGAGTGGGAGCTAATATCATGGAGGAATTGTAACCAGTTGTTCACATTTGTTCCAATCGAATCTGGCGAAGTGCAACACCCCACTTCCGAGACAGATCATACATTTCCAAGCACTGCTGAGATTATGGTGTTATGATGAACCACTTTTTTAATTGTTAACATTCAATGCATAAAGACTGGACAACACTTTCCATGTACATTGGAAAAAAACAGTTTTCCACTGAAAAATCAGTGATTATAAACATTCATCCGGATATTTTCAGCTACAGAGAGCACATAGCATTATTTCTGGTTAGCTTATCAGTGCTACACTACACATTCAGCAAAAGATTTGGAAGCATTTCCATAACTTTTAAATACCCCACATTTTAAAATTTCAGTTTGCTCATCCAATAAGCTGCATTTCAGCTGCTTCATAGACCAATAGCTGTCAGTGAATAACTAAACTAAACTGCTCTAATGTATATGAAGGTACAAAAGTAATTTATCTTTCATGAACATCAGGCCTTCAGAGCTTTACTTGTATTAAATATGACACAAATTTATATATGTATATTCTTTTTTTTAAACTCTGTGAAGGAAGAACTACTGAAGTATTTATTAGCCCCAGTGACCCACTGAGTGAACGGGTTCCCTTACATTTGAATTGTTCTTGGCAGACCCAGTGACCTGAGGGGTTTTCCCACAGAGGGCTGAGTGCATGAGGTATCAGTCCTTTTCTTGCAATGGCAAAAAATCTTGGGGAGTTCATGAGCTAATGTCTTACACACACAAAGGGTTGTTGCTGAATTTATGCTTTGGGCAGTGGTCGGATTAGGTAGAGCTTCTCTCCTTTCTGACTGGTGTAAATGGGGGATCGTTGATAATGGTCTACTAGCTGGTCCAGAGTAGCAAACTTCCGCTGACCAATGCAGTAAAAGCCGTTTTCAACATGGACCCTAAAGTGCTTATTACGACCTGCTGCTTTCAAGGAAACACTGAAGTCTCCCACCTGTAATAGAGAGAAACGAAGGTTATCAAAATTTAAATTCTAAAATGAAATCCTACTTAATATATATAAAGTATATCAGGTGTACTTCATGTAAGGTATTAAAGGAAACATTGAATTATTTAAAATCTATGCATCATCTGGCATTAAGTAGATATAAACTGAGATAACTTTATCTGCATTAATCAAGTTTTTTCAGAGTCCAAAGTAAAAAATGCTTTCTGACTGTGTAAAGCTTTTGTTCATACTTAGATTCTAATCTTAGGAATCTGGAGATTCAACAAAGATTGTTTAAAGTATACGTGATACAGGAATCTTAAACTAAATTTCAAATCCTAAGAGATTAGTCATAAAAAAAGTAAAACAGAGATCCCAACCAACGGGAAGTAAACATTAGAATACTCTAAAAAATCAGTCCTTACATTGGTCTCAGAATCTCTAATGAGGAAATCTCCATCATGGCCACGCTGATTGAGGACGTCATCACACTGTGCTCGCGTAATAGGCCCATAATACCAATCTCTAGTGGTGAAGTGTCCCTTATCTGGAGGAACACCACTGACAGGGGGAGGCTGAGGCATGGATGGTGCCGTGGTGTTGGGGGCAGCGGCATTGATGTTCATACCCTGCATGCCCTGCAAAGGATCACATTGTTAAAATGTGTGTATGCAATGTATAGTTTACAGTGTCTTACAGAAAGATGCTTCTCATACGCTAAAAATTGTTTGGAGTTCACAGAAAAAAAAGAAAGGAAAAGAGAAGAGAAAGTAACCTCTTCTCATTCATGTCTGAAATATATATTTATAATATATAATATATATATATATATATATATATATATATATATATATATATATATATATATATAGTATATATATATATATATATAGATATAACCTAAGAACTAGCAAAGTCCCAGAATATTACAGAAAGTGACAAAAATATGATAATACAGCATTTACGACATTCTTGAAGTCCTTCCATCCAAAATACAAATTGAATGATAAAGAAGAAAGAAAACTAAACCCCATAGAGAAATGATTTCCTAATCTATTATAACCTACACCCAAATTCACTTGCCTTGCTTTCACGCAAGTCCTGCCCCTAAACAAGGCTGCCACCCCCATACCAACCTGTGCAAGGTGTGAATCGGCATTGTGTGCACCACCATTTGTAGCTGGAGGGTGAGGAGGCGGAGGTGCACTGTTGGCAGGGCCTGGAGGAGGGAGCTGGCGAGTCTGTGAGGGTTCCCGCGAGCGAGACGCCCGGGTGTCCACAACCTCGTGGAGTTCTTGAACATAATTCTTTGGGATGAGTCCAACCTGTGTGAGGGTTTGAAAGTTTCTTTCATTATAAGGGGATTACTTAAAATGTATAAAATTGTATCATTATCACTCACCTTAAATCCTCTATAAATAAATATTTTCAAGGTTGTGACTGAAGCTAATCTCTACAATATGGATGAATGTGACCATCACACCATGAAATCATTTGGCTTTAGGGTCAGGTGACATGAACATGCCCTTGTGGAAAAATCTGGCTGTGAGCATTTTGGCGGAAGGCCGGGGTGACAGGAACAACTCACCCTGAGTGCACAAAGCTCTAAGAGGGTGATTAGATTCATTTGAAGTTGAGGAAGGGGCTTTTGCATTATTTCCAGCAATAAATGAGTATGGAATGTGTAATATGTGAGCCATGACTGGAAGAGCACTAGCTCCAGGGAGGATGGTATTTCCATGCTCATTTTGTATTA